TTCCCTACTAGCAACCAGTAAGCTGAGTCAGGCTTGAGTCCAACAATTTTCGTAGAGGTGCCTGTGCGGCACTCGCAAGCATCAAAGTCGCCCTTGCCAAGGGGAAAATAGCTTTGAGCTCTAGGAAATTTGAGCTCTAGGAAATGGATCAGGAAAGGAACTTTGGGGTTACTTGTAGTAGGGTTCTCCTTGGAGATGAAGAGTCACAGGAGGGGATCCCTTATTCATTATTCCCTGCTATTTTGAGGTTCTTGGGTGTTTATACGTGGGTCTACATGTGAGGCAACTATCGTGATAAGTGTATCTGAAGGACATTACTTGTCCTGTTTTGAGTAAGATACAGCCCAACATATACCCAAAGCTACACCTTCATAAGCTGAGAGACTGGACGCCTGTGTAACGCAACTTATGAGTGCCCAATCTTTCTGTGGCATAGGCCTGCGATGAATGCCCTGGAAACATGCTGATGCCTTGCAGCGTGATGGCTCAAATTCCGATACAGTAACATAGCACGCAGGGGTCAGCCCCCCGGCCCCACCCTCTGCCGCGGCCCTTGACCAGCTTCCTGCGTGCGGGTCTCCTTGATAGGGCAAAAGGGATTCAAGTGCTGTAGAAACTCTATGATCCCTCTAGCCCATTGCTCATTCGTTGCTGTGAGTCTCTCGTTTCTGAATTGCTGGTTAGGAACCTAAATATACTTACCATAACATGGATATATAGTGAATAATACGGTTTCCGNNAAGTTCTTGAACAGCAACCCAGTTTTGTGGTGTTAATTTTGCAGCATCACTCTTCGTCCGAGGCAATGAAAGATGGCTCTCTGCCCGCTAAACCCCGCGGGTGGAGAACCTACATTCAAGTGGAAGTGTCTCAAGATTGGGCGTCCCTTGTCTTGTGTTCATATGAACATCAGACATTACCTAGTTCTGGAGGTCGGCAAGGGGCTTCTAATCTTGAGAAACTGCCACGGTGTGCATGGTGTAGATGTTTGCGTCCACCACAAGACCTAGACATGCAAATGCTTGCAGGCAGAAATCGGTATTTTCAGCCTGGAAACAAGCAGGGTTTTGGGCCGCTCAGCCTGAACTTATGCAGCAGCAGCTTGTCGGTGTTGATGCCTGACCCGTCTGGCCGTTTCTTGCAAGGCTGTTTGGGGTCCACAGTTTGCAATCTTTCTCTTCTTGCTGCTCCTTGGCTGCGCAAGAGATGTTGCTCCTGAGTGGTTGATCTGCTGAACCCCGTTGCTCGTTGCAGACAGCCCGTTGCCGCTGGAAGGTTTTTCTACACTTTCGGTTTCATGTCGATGCCCGTGCCTCAGAGGGAATGCGCATCTGCCACGCTTTTCTGTGATCTCTGCCCAAATGACCAGGCCCAGCATATGTGTAATATTGTCAGCCTTCTTCCTGATGATAGCTGGGATGTCGCGAACTCAGATGACTGCTTAAAAGCGGGCCGTGACCTGATCAGCAATGGCGCAATAAGCAGATCCAACAATCAAGAACCATGCAAGGATGTTTGCATTCAAGCACGAAGGCCCGCCCGCTTTGTTCATGCTCCAAGCTGAATTACCTGAAGGGTCAAAGTAATTAGTTATCGTATATTCTTCTTCCTCCATCATAATAGTTATTACCCCAAGTCCACAGACTTTATCATTCGCTACTTGGACCCTCCAGGTAACCTAAGCATGTGAAGCCACCCTGGCTTTTGCAGTCCGGGTCTTCCTGCCGGCCTCCTTGATGCTGCCCGTAGCCGTTGCTGCGGGCTCCGTTGGTGGTCTCTACACCTACGACGTGTGCGCTATTCGCAGCAACCAATATTGTAAGTTGGGGGTGGAAGTGCTGCAGTCCGCAACCTGGCCCACTTGGAAGGTATGCCATCTACCCGCAGTTCTACAGTAATGCTCGGCGCTGCCTGCTGAATTTACCTCCCATCCCTCTTGAAGCAGTCAGTTCCAGAAAGATCTGTGGATGTGGCAGGGTCTATACCGATGTGCTCCCATCACAGCCCAGTGCTGCCGCCGGGAGTCTCAGGGCAGAGCTGCAGGTAGCAGAAGCAGTGATGCACAATCCTGGGTTGCTGTTAAGG